ATGTTCTCATGTAATAACTACCGCCGGTATATCGATCGACATAATGTGTCCTAGACCGGTGGATTTTTTTTTGAAAGTTTTGTATCATGGCGTATTGTATCAAAATAGGTGGATGTTTTTTAAGTCTGTTAAAGTTGACAGGGTTGAGTTGCTTTTGATGTACTCTGATAAAGTTGATACGTCTGTACTGGTCATAAAGTCCAAATTGGCTTCAGTTATAAAATAAATTTTTATTACAGATGGCGCTGCACCAATTTTTTAATAGTAATATATATTCTGAAACTGTTGTCTTTTCGATTAATTTGAATTCTTTCCGATAAATAATTCCAATTTGGATAGAAAACATTTTCGGCAATTATTTATAGATGGAAATGAAAGTCTTAACCGCTATCACCGATTCTTATGAATCCCGTGGTTAGAGCTCATGGGATTCAAGAATTTTTGGATCCAGGTCAGATCGATAAAAATTGTTAGATTCGGTCCTAATTGATTCAGTTTTTATGGATAGATCTCATGAGATCCAAGAATTTCTGAATCCGGACCTGGTCGGGTCTAGATGGAACCTGATGGGCTCTACCAGTAGTAACGCGAATAAACGTACGATATGGTTTGAAAACCTTGTTTTTTTATTTTTTAATAAAATAGGAATTCTTTATTCTGATCCATCTGATATAATTATTCTTCGAAATTTATCATCTCGTCATCGTTTAACATTATTAATATCTCCAGCAGATATTGATTTTACACAAGAAAATCTTCATTGTTTATTAGTTGATCAACCAATATCACGTATACGTTTACCAGATTTAATTGATCCTCAATTACAATCACAATCTATATCATTTTCACTTTCGGATTATCGAGGTATACATTTAACAACAGGTTCATCATTAATATCATCAAAAACAAATGGTTTTATTAAAATTTATCAAACAAGAATGAATATAGATTTATTCGTTTTTTTCAGTGTATTTTTTTCTTCATTTTTTCTTTTTCTATCAATTGGAATTTGTTTTTGGAAAGTTAAATTTGCATATGAAATTCATCGTAGACGAAGAACACTTAAACATGAATATCATAAACGTATGGCAAGACCATTTGCTAAAATTCAATTATTTATTAAACCATCAACAATAATATCCAATGATGAAGATAATTCTCAACAGGTTTTACTTTTTTCTTTAATATTTTCATTAATTTAAAAATTATTTTTTTTTAGCTTACTTTTCCAGTAGCATCATCATCTGTAGATATTCCATTATTACTTCCATCAACTCGTACAGATATTGATTATTCATCACATGTTGTATCTGTTGAACCACTTCGAGACCAAAATACTTGTTATACAACATTACTTTTTCATTTACCAGGAGATCTTTCAACACAATATCGTCTATGTGCTGGTACAACACTTGCACAATTACCATCAGATTATGCTAATGCACTTTCAAATGCAAGAATTGAAGCTGAATTACAAAAACGAAATAAAAGACGAAAAAAATATAATGGACGAAATGTTCATCAACGGAAAGTTGTTGTTAAAAAGACAACAACAAATACTAGACAACAACAACATCAACAACCTAGAAGAAAACAACATAATCCTCATCAGCAACAACAACAACAACAACAACAACAACAGCAGCAGCAGCCAAGAACAACACTTGGACCTTAAGAAGCTCGTTGTTGAGTCAGATGTGTACGCGCGCTTGTTTGTGTGTGTTTGTTTGTAGTCTCACTAATTTTATGTTATCTTATTTTGTATATTAAATTCTGCGAAATCAGGCATTTTAGAATTATCATTGGTAAAGTATTTGAAAATGATACATATTCTAGATAAAATTTCATTTAATTAGTGGATTAATTATTTGATAAAATTTTCATTTATATCTTCAAGAAATTTCTTAGTTTGTTTATTTATTTAGTTAACTATTATACATTATTTCAATAATTAGTCAGGTAATTAGATTTTATTAACCAATATTATATTAATTGATCTATTTTATGTAAGATTCTATTAGACATATGAATTATTTAAGAATAAATTCAAAAATGATAATACATATTTCAAATATTTTTGCTTGTTAAAACTAATAATAAATATTTCGATCTTTCAAAATTAACTAAACCTCAATTATCTATTATTATTTCTTTTGGATAGTAATAGTTATATGAAATAAAATTTAATTACAATAGAAATTATATTTCTACAAATAGATATGATCGTGTTTTATATATATATAGAATGAAAGGTTTTTATTAAAATCGAAACAAATATTCAAGAATATTATTTGATAAATAGTGTAAACTAAATGATTTCATCAAGATTTAAATGTTTGTTATATGAAAATAAAAAAATTCAAACTAAATACGCTATAGAATGAAACAACAACAAAAATTAAAGATTATGGAAGAACTGATTCAAATAAATTCTATTAACCAGTCATGAACTTGTTAACTATTGACTTTGAAATGTAATCCTTTTTTTAGCAAGAATACATGAATTACGATCTAAGATTTATACACTACTGCTCAAAATTATAAGAACAACATATTTTTTATTGTTTTCTATTACGCTAAGTGCCTAGCTAAAATGCACTTAGTGATGTGAATAGTCAATCAAGCTCTCTCTATCTAAAGCATCCTATACAAAATTCCATAAATACATTATCAGAGAAAGATTTCTAAAAACAACAAAACAACCGCATTTTTCTAGGTACTTAAAGATTTTGCGAACATTGATTTTCAATGATGCCATGTTATAGAGAATAAAATTCTGAAGAAAATGAATGCTCGCCCCGTTTTTACCATCTGCCCTTAAAAAATAATGACCACTATAAAAATTTTTAAAATGTGGTTTTTTTGTTGGTCGATTTTCAGATAAATTTCATTTTTTTGATTATAACTTTTTAAGGCAAAGTGGTAAAAAAAATGTAGGAAGCACTCATTTTCTTCAAAATTTTATGTCCTATAAGATGGCATCATTGAAAAATCAATTTCCGCGAAAGCTTCAAGTGCTTAAAAAATTCGGTTTTTTTGAAATTTTTCTCTGATAATGTACTGATAGAATCTGGTATAGGATGTTTTAGATTGAAAGTTTGATTGACTATTCATATATCACTAGGTGCATTTGAGTTAGACATTTAGTATGATAGAAAAAAGTTAACAATACGTTGTTCTTATAATTTGAGCAGAACTGTAGAAGGAAGAATGAATTAGTCTTACACAAATCCGAGGACAATCTCATTTAATTAAAAAAATCCAAATCATCACTATAGACTACAGATGTTCTTTGTAGTATGAATCGTATTTATAGACAATTTATGTCACATTCCTAGATTTTCTATAGATGCTATGTCAAAGGATAAGTCTTGATTATTATTTTGTAAGATATTATCTAAAGGAGTGTTGACGTATAGAATAGAAAACTTAGAAGGTTTTTTCTTCTCTTGAATTATAATCTTTTCATAGTCTTAAGATGTTTGTCACAACCTGTGAAATAGTTTTAGATTAAGATACATGTTTCTTGTTGTAGTTTCACACTCCCTGTAACATAATTAAAGTAAAATTTTTTTTTTGTATCATAAAATCTAGTAACTTATAAATTGAAAGACACGTTTCTAATTGTTATCATTGATAATATAAACAAATTTATCATGTAGAAAATGTGTTGACAGTACCGTTTGTCTTTTTTGCAAATAATAAATGACATAGATTCGATATTTGTTCTTATTTCTTATGAATTCACAAGACACTTTTTTATCAATGATATAGATATATAGTAAAACTTCTCTATGTGACCCATTCCTTATTCTGAACAGTGGACGCTTATTTCTAATTCCATAAACAATGACAACTTCTGTAATGTGAGCAACATAGATTCTATCATTTATGAGCAAAGCAAGAAAAAAATAATGTTGTGTATTACGTTATGATAAACAATCATGGGACGCATAGAAAAACAAGATGGACTACCCGTGGATATTTAAAAGAAAAAAAAACCAATATTAGACAACAGAAACAGTGCTTGATGTAACATCGTTTCATTTTTGTGTTAACAGCTAGTAATATTAGATCGTGTCAACACTAGTTGATTTAATTATTTGCTAGAAAGAAGACAAAGATCACTTGGTGCAGTCGACAAGCCATTGCAACTGAATACGTATAAGTTAAAAAAAAAAAAAGAAAAGAGAAACTAAAAATCTTTCAATAATAAGCATTTCCATAAAGTGAACACTTTCAACTGGTCTTGATGATGCCCATATTAAAGAAGTTTTATTATATACAAAAATATTAGAGTATTATTTACTATATTCATGATGATATGAACTATTATTATCTAAAAAATAGATGTACTGTTTTTTTTTTGTAGATTATAAATAATGTCAACGGTTGAAGGTAATGAAAATGAATTTTCTTCTGCAGATGCTTTAAATTCTGCAGTGAATAAAGATGATGGAGATACTAATTCGATACGCTTTGGTCCAAGTAATGATTCTGAAGGTGGTTCAAAGGTTGTTTTTCTTCTTAAAGCAGCAGGTGGTGCACCAATATTAAAAAAGAAAAAATGGGCATTACCAAGAACAAAAACAATTGGTCATATTGTTGAATTTTTAAAAAAATATATGCATCTTGATACTCAACAACAACAACAACTTTTTCTTTATGTTAATCAAGCATTTTCACCAGCACTTGATACAACAATTGGATCAGTTAATGATTGTTTCAGTAGTGAAGGAACACTTGTATTACATTATGCATTAACTGAAGCATGGGGATAAAAAGAAAAACTTTATTATTTATGTAAATCTTTTTTTTTTTATTGTTTAATGTACAGAATAAATAAACGAGAAAATCATTTAAAATATCTTTGTTCAATGATAAATCAGTCATATATAAAAAGTTTATTTCTAACAAATATATATTGTAGATTGATGTTGTGGCATTTTATCAGAAAAAATATTATTCAAAAAAGCCCACATATTATTCCTATTTGTTCAATGTCATCATCATCATCATCATCGTCTAATGAAATATTTACAAATGAACGTATTCGAAAACGTTTAATACCTTATCTTGATAAAACACCAGATTATGTTGATGAACTTTCTCAAACTATACCAAGATTAAAACGATCACGACGAGCATCTATTCTTGTTCCTCTTTATTGTAATCAAATAACAAATAAAATAGAAGTTCTACTTATGAAACGATCAGAAAAAATGCGATCACATACAGGAATGATTGGTTAGTAATAATATTCAATCGTTCACAAAAAGTAAAAATTTCTTTTATTTTTTCTTCTAATATTCTAAAGCTTTTCCTGGTGGAATGGTTGATCTAACTGATCGTGATTCAATTCATACAGCTCAACGTGAAGCTGAAGAAGAAATAGGTCTTGAACCACATCAATATTCAATAGTTGGTTGTCTTCTTCCAATAACGGATTTTCGTCTTGTTATAATAACACCTGTTGTTGCTTTACTTCATTCACCAAAATTTGTTGATTTTCGTTTAGACGTTAATGAAGCATCAGATGCATTTTATGTTGATCTTGAACAATTTCTTTTTGGAAATGAAAATTATAAAATGTTAGAAGTTGGAGATGATTTTGTAACACATCATTTTAATATTAATAAATATCATATATGGGGTGTTACTGCTTATCAATTAATATTAATAGCAACATTAATTTATCAACGTACACCACAATTTCCAGTTTTTCGTCATGAACAATATTTAAATTTACAACAGATAAAACAACAACAAATGGATTTTTTTCGATTATGTGTTGATTATCGAAATAGAGACAAAATAAAAGAAAATAATAAAGAAAAAAGTCGTTTATAAATTTTATTCAGAGAATTTTCTTTTTCTTTTATCTTTTTTCTTTAGTTTAAAGTAATATGTATTATTTGTTTGATATTGTTTTGATTATTTTATCATATAAAAAAAAACAAAACAATAAGAATTTCACTTAAACTTAAGTAGAAACATTACAAGACAAATATACGATTCTCTTTTTTTTTCTACAGTGTTAAAGTTACATAATTATTTGAAGAGAGAATATACTTTTGTTTAATATTTTCGCTATCAAATATGCAATATTATTGTCATTGTACTAAAATTTACTCAAAACACTTGGAACTTTTAACTAATCGAATCAAAATAATGGCAATGTTGTTTATTTGTGTCATGTCCACGAAAAAAAACATCATCAATAAAACTGAATAATCACATTCATCAAGAACAATCGACAGTGCTGTATTAATTCTACAGTTGTTTACAATAAAAAATACCTTGCATAAAACTAGAAATTTTATTTTTTGTGGGGTTTTTTGTATGAAACAGTTATAGGCTTTATTCTTTTCGGTGATAATTCTTCGATGGTTAGACAAATTAATGATCGTATAATGAAAGTGCATTTGATTTTGTTTTAGATATATAAATATAAATTAAAAAATGTTGTATATTCATATTTACAATATTGCAACAAAGACACAAGATCAGCTAACGTTTTAAAATTAGAAAACAATGATTTACATGAGCTATCTCTATTTAAAATATCAATAAATTAAAATAAATAAATTTAATCGAATATCGAAGTAGTCAATGACACGCTACTTTAGATGTTCATCTGATAATTATCATTCACAACTTGTGAAAATTGTGAGTGGATATTGTCATTTCTTGGCATCTCGAACATATTCGTTATCCTTGTGCTTATAACTGTTCGACTAAACCATATCAAAATATGCAAGAATGACAAAAATTATTATAATGGCAATTCTACAAGAATATATTGTTCTAGCTACTAATATATGCACATGTTCTAATGAATACAATGAAGTATTCTGTTAATATCATGCACGTTATTTTGTTCTATTATTTAAAAATATTCTGTGCAAAATGAAAAGTTTTCTCGAGAGTATACGATGTATACATGTGAAACGCATCATATAATTGCATATATGTGATGTATCAGAAGGTTAATTCGATCTGAAATCTCTGTAAAATAATACGTAGTATGGCGTAATGTTGTATACCATCGTAATCTGTTCATCCTGCTCTTGTCTTAATGGATGTTAACGGTCAATCATTCACATTCTTCTTCTGTTTGAACTAAACTAATAATGAGCATCAGAGAAACAATTATTCATATGCGAATCTTCGTATTAGATCTTGATCAGTGTATTCTTATATTTTTTTTTCCGAGTGGAAATGCAATTGATACATAAGGTTGGATCTCAAGTTTCGTTAGTATTATTGGCTTGATGATTGTTTTGAATATATGAACACATTTAGCTGCTACTTATTAGTTATCGAATAGTCTTCATTGCTTGGGATTTAATAGCATCTACTATAGATTCTTCACATGTTCGTGAATTATCTTGTTATTATGATATATTCATGTTATGACAATTTTCAATTTCAACATATCCTAATCTTTGTTCACTAACTCTTTTTAAAATTAATGCCTTTTTTTCTTCAAGTAATTATTGATGCTATTCCAACAATTAATTAAATAAAAGATATACGTGTCGAACATCCAAGTTTATTACTTTATTCAACAGGAGTTACCGATAAAGGATTTTTACTAAAAGATTATCAACATAAATTCAAGTCAATTGTCACGTGTTCCATTTATTTAACTAGAAACCTTTATCTAGTTTCTAATATTCCTACTATTTTTTTCAATCTTCATCGTATTACAATTGAAGAATTTTATTGGAGAGAAGATATTATTGAATTTTTACAAAATAATATACCAAATCTTCAATCATTATACATTCGTACTTATTCATCTATATTATATCAACAATCATTATCAAAATATGTTTTAAAAAATGTTTCTGAACTTGATATGAATATAAATATTCATTCAATTAATATCAAATGTCTTCGACATATGTTTCCTTCTTTACAACGATTAAGTATTCAATGGGATACTTTTCGACAATATCCATCGATTGATGGTTTTCAATGGTAAGATATTATTCAACAAAGTTGGCTTCTAATGCAAGAATTCACTTTAGATTTAAAATGTGCAAAAATTAGTGAACAATTTATAAATACATTTTATTAAAATAAATATTGGATATCAAAACAACTCATTCCAACTGTTTGGAAACCTCAGTATAATTCTCATCCAATATTAAAAGTTTTATTTTAATTATAAACAATTATTAATATAATCTTTTATTATGTGATATATTTTCCCTTTATTAATAAATACGCATTTAGAATACAAAAGTTTATCAATTATTGTAAACAAATAAAACAGAAATTTTTATGATTGTACAGTTATATCTTGAAGTACAAGGTGCATAAAAATATTTTTTTAGAGGGATAATGCTATAATTTCATATAACATCAACAACAAATTTTATACCAAATTAAAGCACATCGAAAATGGGATTCATCAATAGTAAATAGTAAGCGTTAGGGCAAGCTTTCACTATCAAATTCAAGAGTATTCCTAAAATTTTACATCATGTCAGCAGAGAAAAATTCCTTTCATGAAACAGTTCAAACTACATCTCATTTAAAATGATGAATATCAAAAAGTAATATTTATTTCTTAAGACTTGATGAATATAATCAATAACCAATATGAAGAATATTAGCATTTTTATAGCAGGAGGATGAGACGGATACGAACATAAAATAATTTCAAATAGTTCAATATTTGTTTCCATCTTTGTCAAAACATATGAAATATGTTTTCTTAGAGTTTCTTTATCAAAACAATTGTAGTTTGTGTCTGATAGTCATTCTTTTTTAGCTTCAATTTTGATTATTGTTTCAATATCTCTAGGTCAAGTATCCAGTACTATTTCATATTTATCATTTTAAATGAGATGTGGTTTGAACTGTCTCATGAAAGGAGTTTTTCTCTGCTGATATGACAGAAAATTTTATGAACTTTTTAAATTCGATACTGAAAATTTGCTCTAACGCTTACTATTTACTATTGATGAATCCCATTTTCAACGCGCTTTCATTTCGTATACAATATGATATTGATGTTATTTGAAATCACAGCGTTATTTCTCTGAAAAAATATTTTTATGAACCCTGCACACTGACTTATTAATCATTCTTTTACTTATACGAGTCAATTTCAAGATAAAATGTAAACCCATATACGTTTTTCTTTGTGTTAGTATAGAGAAAAACATTGACCAGGAATATATGCCAAATAACAAGTAGGACAATAGACGAGTAATCAATACGTCCAAAAAAAATATTACCTTGATTTTTTTTTCTATTGGAAAAAGTCTCATTAGAACGATGATCACATGGTTAATGATACTAATCATTCGATTGATATGTATGTGTGTTTATCAACATCGGATTGGAAAAAATACATTTTGTTTATAATTATATGATGCTCAATACCTTATAATTATTGACATGATTACACGATTTTCGTTTGGTCTGTTTACAGAATGAAAAAAAGTTTTTTATATTCATTTGATCGAAAAAATCAAATAAATTTATTTATAAATGATTGATGAATATTAATCGATATTTCTTTAGAAATTATTTGATTCACATATTTTTTATTAATAAATTATTTTATTTATCTATCATATCGAAATCAAATAAATTTTTTTTGTTATTAACAAGTAAACAGAAAAACAAATTTTAATTTCTATTGATATATATATATATATATTTTTTCTAATTTAATAATCAATATCTATGAAAACCAACAAAAACTA